AAAACCCTGAATAGCTAAAGCAATCTTGATAAAGAAAAAGTCAGAGGAATCAGGCTCCCTGACTTCAGACTATTTACTATAAAGCTACAGAAATCAGAACAGATTGGTACTAGCACAAAAACAAAATTATAGATTACTGTAACAGGACATAAAGTCCAGAGATAACCCTACTCAGCTGTGGTCACCTATTCTATGACAAAGGAGACCAGAATAGTCAGTGGTGAGGAGAAAATCTCTTCAATAAGTGGTGCTGGGAAAACTGGAAAGCTACATGTAAAAGAATGAAATTAGGATATTCTCTAGACTATACATAAAAATAAATTAAAATGGGTTAAAACTCAAATGTAAGACTGAATAAAACTCTTAGTGGAAAACATAGGAAGAATACTCCTTAGCACAAATCACAGCAATAACTTTTTTGATCTTCTTAGAGTAATGAAAATAGAAACAAAAATAAGCAAATGGAACCTAATTAAACTCAAAAGCATCTGCACAGCAAAGGAAATCTTAAAAAAAAAAAAATGAGAAGACGACCCACAGGATGGGAGAAAATGTTTGCGAATGATTTGACTGACAAAGGATTAATCTCCAAAATTTACAAATAGTTCATGCAGCTCAATATCAAACAACAACCCAATCTGTCAATAAGCAGAAGATCTAAGTAGTCATTTCTGCAAAGAAGACATATAGATGGCCCAAAGACACAGCATCACTATTAGAGAAATACAAATCAAAGATGCTCAATATCACTAATTATTAAGAGGAATGCAAAACTATCATACAATGAGATATCACCTCACACCAGTAAGAATGGCCACCATCAAAGTCTACAAATAATAAATGCTGGAGAGGGTGTAGAGAAAAGGAAACCCTCCTACACTATTGGTATTGTTGCAGCCACTATGGAAAACAGTATGGAGGTTCCTTAAAAAACTAAACATAGAGTTAACCATACCAAGCAATCCCACTCCTGGGCATATATCCAGAGAAAACCATGGTTCAAAAAGATACAAGCATCCCAATGTTCATTGCAGCACTGTTTTCAAGAGCCAGAACATGGAAGCAACCGAACTGTCCACTGACAGAGGAATGGATAAAGAAGACGTGGCACATATATGCAATGGAATATTGCTTAGTCATTAAAAAGAATGTAATAATGCTACTTACAGCAACATGGATCAACCTGAAGATTATCATACTAAGTCAGACAGAGAAAGACAAATATCAATGATATCGCTTATATGTAAACTCTAAGGAAAAAAAAAAAAAACAATTTAGTTACAAAACAGAAACAAGACTCAAAGAATTAGAAAACAAACTTAAGTTTACCAGGGGCAAGGGTGGGATGGGGAGGCATAATTGGGAATTTGGAATCGATATATACACACTGTTACTTTTAAGATAAATAAGCAACAGGATTTTACTGTGTAGCACAGGGAACTCTGCTCAATACTCCTAACAACCTAAATGGAAAAAGAACTTTAAAAAGGATAGATGCATGTATGTGTATAACTGAATCACTTTGCTGTACATGAAACTAGCACAACATTGTTAATCAACAATACTCAAATATAAAATAAAAATTTTAAATAAACATAAGATGATTCCACATTGATTTGTATTCTCAATGCAAGTACTCATCTCTCTAGATTGGTACCTCAAAGAATTTCTACAAATAAAGTTACAAGGATTATAAATTCACAATTTGGAATCATTACATTTACAAGGAAATAAACCCACCTTAAGGAAAAGTCAACAAAACAATAACGTGCAGAATTATATTCACAAGGATATCAGATAACTGAATTATCAGATACTAAGTTCAAAACTGTATATTTAATATGGTTGAAGAAATTAAAGGGGGAATAAAAGTCTGAGAGGATATTTAATGTTTGGGCATACTTCAAAAGAATCAAGTACAGTAATTGAAATGAGAACCTTAATGGAAATATTACAAAATTTACTAGACTCAGCTGGGTAGAAAATTAGAAGAAAAATCTGAAGAAATTTCTCAGTGAACAATCCAGAAAGATTAATATATGGAGAATGTAAGATAATGGAGTGATAAATTTCAAATGCATCTTATTGAAAAAATATAGATAATTGTGGGAAAGCAATGTTCAACTGATGGCTGAGAATTTTCCAGAGTTTATGATAAAATTAATCTTAATAGTCAAGAAGTGTATATTAAAGTTAATGAATACCTAGATACATTTTAGTGAAACTTCAGAACATCAAAGACAAAGTGAAAATATTGAAACCAACCTGAAATAAAACTATAAAGGGTTGATGATTAGACAGAACAAGTAAGAGCTTCCAGTTCCAGCTATTGTCAGGTAGCTCCTATTGGATCAATCCTCCCACAGAAAATAACTGCAAACTCTGTAGTCTCATACATGTATCTGTGTGTGTGTGTCTGTATATATGCACCATGCAGGGTGGTTAAAATTCAGACACGATAGAAACCTCACAGTATGACTGGTTTAAAGTGGCAGAATGTAGAGTTTGAAGTAAACACAAACTGGAAAGGGAGATAGGTGATCTTAGGATAGGAGAGACAGAGGTTGCAGCTGGGGTTCAAACAAATTAACTGCCTACTTTAAGAAAAATCACACTCCTTGTAAGAGCACAACCGAATTCAGAGCCTCTACAACATTATCATTAAAGCTGTCCAAGATACTAAATAATGAGTACACAAACAAACAGAAAAATATGAACCACACTCAGCAGAAAAGGCAGTTAAAGGATAACAACCCTCAGATGTCCCAAATGATGGAACCTGCAGGAAAGGATTTTTTAAGTAACTATTATAATTGTACTCAAAGACAAAAAGGAAAATAGAGTTGGCTCTAGAAACATGCAGAGGTTAGGGCCCTGATCCTCCAAGCAGTGGAAAATCCATCTATAACATATAGTCAGCCCTCTATATCTACAATTCCTCCATATCTGTGGTTCTGCCTTCACAGATTCAACCAAATGCAAATCGTGTAGTATGGTAGTATTTACTATTGGAAAAAATGCACAAATAAGTGGAGCCCTGCAGTTTAAACTCATTCTGTCCAAGGGTTAACTATATGGTTATAATGAATGGACAGGAAACTTCAGCAAACGGGAACTATAAAAAAGAAACAAATGGAAATTTTATACAGTGAAATTTTGATATTTGAAACAGTAAGAATAATATGTTCAAAGTTTTGAGGAAAATTAGAAATCTAATCTATCTAGAAAACTGTTTTTCTTCAATAAGGATGAAATAATGACATCTCTAGCCTAACAAACACATTAAGTTCACTTCTGTCTCATCTAGCTTTTATAAGATGTGCTTAGGAAGAATTGTGTAGCTTATATATAATTTCACATGCATGCAGTATTCCTAACAAAACTTTTAAAAAATTCTATATCTGTAGCAGAAGTTTAACAATGGAAACAGCCTATGATGAAGGCAGAAAAAGGCATTGGGGAAAAACTATTCAAGAAAATTATTTATAGCTTCATATGTGAGATATTCACCCAAAGGCCCAAAGTACACATGAAAGAAAGGGGGAGGGCTCATGGGAGATGAAAAAGGACAGGATCCTACTCTGATGACGGGGATCATAGCTGAGAAACACATAGCTGGCTCATCAGACATCAGAATGTACTCACTGTAGAAAGAGTAAGATCCAAAAGGACACATCAGGATTGAAGAGCATCAGATACCATTCTGCTTTAGAATTTTATGTTACCCTTAACTTTTATGGATCTTTCCCAGCCAAGAAAATCCACAACCAAAATATGTTGAAGCTATTTATCTCCTTCCTCCCTCCTCTTTCTCTCTGTTGTTGTTCCCAGAGAGAGAGATTGCTTTAGGAAGAAACAAACATTTAAAGAATACAAAGAGGTTGAGGGAAGGAGGGAAAAAAATTTTTTCCCCATCAGATTTTAGAGGCCATCTATATCTTATCAAAACAGAAAGTAAGATTGATTTCTATTTGTGAAAATAAAATTGTATAAGAAAATATTTACAGAATTTGAATGGTGTCATTTACTTTCAATATTATTTGCTGTATATCAGGATCTTTTGTGGTGATGAAGCTTAAAATGTAATCCATAGGATAACATATTTAAATATTGATAACTTTAGAGATGTTATGACCAGAAGAACAGTTTTTAAATTATAACTCTTAACCTGAAAGATTAAAGTAGTAATAGCCCATTATGAAAATGGACATAGCTATAGATATATTCATATTGACCATACTTCAGTTACAAATGAGAGTAATAGTATTTTTAATCACCTAATGTAAATAGGCTCAATGTAAATACTATAGAATACATACATCAAAGAGTCAGGTGATTCATAAAGATTAAGTAGTATGCTTATATTTGTTATTTTATGAATATTAGTGTGCCTTCTTTGACTTTGTTCATTTTCTACTTGCAGTTAGCAACTGGAAGTTTTCTTTTTATTTGCTTAGAAAATGTAGTTTTTCTCTTTTGCAAAGCTCCATAGGAAATAAAGTAAAAATGAATATTTCCCATGACATTTCTTAGAAAAAAAGGTCTTCCAGTTGGTAGACTTCTAAACCAGAGTTTAAAATTTATGTTACAAAATAACAGTCTATATCTAGTGTATATTGTTTATTTTGCCTGTTTTTCCAATGTCTTGGGAAAGCAGAGTGCTATTAGGTTTTCCTAACATTTTCATTTTAATTTTCTATGAAAAGATTGAACTGCCTTAAAAATTAATATCAAAAGATTCCAATTCATATTTTCTTGTTATCTCTTTCTTGAGAGGTAAAGTGGCAATAAAATGAATGAAAGAATTAAAGTGAAATGAATTATTTTCTACTTATCTGAAATATACTATGATTCGCACTGTATAATATTGCCAATGATAGTTCTAGGACCATACTATTTAGGCTTTTATAGAGCTGAGTTAGCTGAACTGAATTAATGATTGATTTCTAAAAGCTTCCCTTAAGTAATATTAATCTATTTTTTGCCTTTTTATATCCTAGGTGCCCAAACCAGTAGATTATTCTTGCCAACCCTGGTAAGTATTAAAAATGTTTATGTCGCTGAGTTGAAATACCATACCTTTAGCTCAAGGACGCCTTAAACGTGGGAGTAGTAAACTACATTCCATTTCCATTTGTCCTGGCTAAAGGTGTTTTCACATGTAACAGAACACCATAATGAATTTATATATTGCTGACCTTTTCCATATCTTTATCAGAGAATGGTGCATATGAGTACAAGCGCAAGTACTTGGCTGTAAATCCAGTTTATAATAGCCAAAAGTGGAATGGGACATGGGCAAATATGCATATTGTATTTTAGAAGAATAGGTTTCATGAAGTTGAGGGGGGAAAAAAAGTATAATTCCATTGTCTGAAACAAAAACTTAGCCTAGAAAGGATTGTTGTTGTGTAGTTGCTAAGTCATGTCTGACTTTTGCAACCCCATGGACTATAGCACACCAGGCTTCCCTGTCCTTCATTATCTCCCAGAGTTTGCTCAAATACATGTCCATTGAATCGGTGATGCTATCCAACCACCTCATTCTCTGTAGCCACCTTCTCCTCCTGCTCTCAATCTTTCCCAGCATCAGGGTCTTTGCCAATGAGTTGGCTCTTTGAATCAGGTGGCCAGAATATTGGAGCTTCAGCTCCATCATCAGTCCTTCTAATGAACATTTAGGGTTAATTTCCTTTAGGATGGACTGTTTTGATCTGCTTTCAGTCCAAGGGACTCGCAAAAGTCTTCTCCAGCACCACGATGCAAAAGCATCAATTCTTCAATTTTCAGCCTTCTTTATGGTCCAACTCTCACATCCATACCTGACTACTGGAAGAACCATAGCTTTAACTATACTTTTTCTCCACCTATTTGCTATGATGGGACCGGATGCCATGGTCTTTGTTTTTTGAATGTTGAGTATTAAGCCAGTTTTTTCACTCTCTTCTCTCACTCTCATCAAGAAGCTCTTCAGTTCCTCTTCACTTTCTGCCATTAGAGTGGTAGCATCTGTATATCTGAAGTTATTGATCTTTCTCCCAGCAGTCTTGATTCTGGCTTGTGATTCACGCAGCCCAAGATTTCATGTGATGTACTCTACATATAAGTTAAATAAGCAGGGTGACAATATACAGCTTTGACGTACTCCTTTCCCAATTTTGAACCAGTCCATTGTTACATGTCCAGTTCTAACTGTTGCTTCTTGACTTGCATACAGGTTTCTCAGGAGATGGGTAAGGTGGTCTGGTATTCCCATCTCTAAGAACTTTTCACAGTTGTGATCTACACAATCAAAGGCTTTAGTGTAGTCCATGAAGCAGATGTTTTTCTGGAATTCCCTTGCTTTCTCTGTGGTCCATTGAATGTTGGCATTTGATGGTTCCTCTGCCTTTTCTAAATCCAGCTTGAACATCTGGAAGTTCTTGGTTCGTGTACTGTTGAAGCCTAGCCTAAAGGATTTTGAGCATAAGAGTATAACCTTGCTAGCTTGTGAAATGAGCGTAATTTTTAAGGTAGTTTGAATACACTTTAGCATTGCCCTTCTTTGAGACTGGAATGAAAACTGACCTTTTCCAGTCCTGTGGCCACTGCTGAATTTTCCAAATTTGCTGACATATTGAGTGCAGCACTTTCACAGCATCATGTTTTAGGATTTGAGATAGCTCAGCTGGAATTCCATCACCTCCACTAGCTTTGTTTGTAGAAATGCTTCCTAGGTTGTCTGGCTATAGGTGAGTGACCACATCATTGTGGTTATCTGGGTCATTAAGACCTTTTTTGTATAATTCTTCTATGTGTTCTCACCACCTTTTCTTAATCTCTTATGCTTCTGTTAGGTCCTTATCATTTCTGTCCTTTATCATGCCCATCCCTGTATGAAATAGTCCCTTGATATCTCCAATTTTCTTAAAGAGATCTCTATTCTTTCTCATTCTATAGTTTTCCTCTATTTCTTTACATTGTTCCTTATATAGATGTTGGAAAGATGAAATAAAATGTGTATAATACTAAGTACATAGTAAGTACCCAGAATATGTTAATTATCATCATATGTTGATAATAACTATTCCAAATAGTTTTTCTGGTTGAAGATGTCATTTTCTCTTAAACTCACAATGTCTAAAACATAATAATTATTATCTATTGTTTCCTTGTTTCTGTTAGTGATATGACTAACCTCCTCTTAAAATGACTGCATCTATTTTTATTTTCTTGATATTGAAATATGTGCATACAAATTAGAAATCAGGGTATGGATATAAATGAGGTATTCTGAGAGTATATAGTAAGTACTAGTTCAGTTTACAAGTATAGGTAACACCTGAGTTTTTTTATATTTTAAACTGATCATTTTCTGTTATATAACCAAAGCATGAAAAATGTCAGGTTACTGTAGGAATACATTGACCATAGTATGGGATCCTTTCCTGGGCAGTCTTACTCTCCCTCCCCAGCCACATCTGCTTTGTGTAATCATTGTCTGTTTTCTCTGACATCCTTCCCTGGCTTCAACACTGAGCCTGCTGAGAAATTATAGCAGGTCTGTGATAGAACTGGAAATCTTTGCTATATGTTTACCTGTTTTAAGACAAATTTGAGGTCTTAGTTTTCATGGAATTAAAGACTGTAACCCCGACAAATTAATTTTGGAGAACAGAACTGATAGCATCGATAATCAAACTGTAAAACATCAGGAACTGGTGAAATCATGAAAGTGTGATGAGTTTCCTTCTCTTTTCTTTTACTATTTCTATATAAGAAGGCATAATAGTTACAAAACTAATGATTTTAGAGAAATACGAATGCCACGCACAAGATGGATTTTATGAAATAAACTGATTAGATACCTGGGAACCATTCAGAACACAGGAGATTAGCTTTTGAATCCTTTGTTTTAAAATGTACCCTTGCCAATATGTAAAATTCTATTGAAATTATGACCAAATAGTATTGCTCCTAATGATAAAAAAAAAAATCAAGATGTTTAGATGAGGGAACACCCTTGAAAAGAGTAAGAAATAAAGACAATAGAATTTCAAAATTACTTTTTCTTTTCTTAAGAAACTTGCGACAGTTTCTTCACACTAAACAGGCAGTTTCATGTGAAATGCTTTCTGCTAAGGAACAAAATGATCAACTATATCAGAAAAGGAAACCGTCAGTTTCAGAAAAATTAAACCAAAAATTACACTGTGGTTTTCAAGTCATTAAGAGGGCTTCCCTGATAGCTTAGTCTCAGCTGGTAAAGAATCTGCCTGCAATGCAGGAGACCCCGGTTGGATTCCTGGGTCAGGAAGATCTGGAGAAGGGATAGACTACCTACTCTAGTATTTGTGGTCTTCCCGTGTGGCTGAGCTGGTAAACAATCCGCCTGCAGTGCGGGAGACCTGGATTCTACCCCTGGGTTGGGAAGATCCCCTGGAGGAAGGAAAGGTTGCCCACTCCAGTATGCTGGCTGGAAGAATTACATGAACTGTATAGTCCATGGGGTCACAAAGAGTTGGACACTGTGAGTGACTTCCACTTTCTCAAGTCACTAAGGAGTTGAATATCCTTATTATTTTCGCATTTTAAAGCTGTTCCCATAAGGTAAACTTTGTCTCTTTCATAAGCCATGAAATAAAACAGAGTTCAAGGTGAGTATCTTCAGTCTGTGTTTTTGGGTGTCATGAAGACTGAGATGAGACATGGGGCTTAAATCTGAGGAACTGTCTGAAAATCCTTATGGAGTAAAGGATGCAGATACCAGTGTCCCTGCCTCATCCTCCAACTAGTCAGACAACTTACCTTTCCCTCCCTTAGCAAGAGACATGAATTAGAAGGTATATTACTTGGAAAAATTGAGCCATATGAGGCCTAGACTTGGAAAGAGGAGGCCCAGAAAAAATTGGCAGAGATGCTATACTGAAAACAGATCAGTCAAATTAAGGAAAGTCAGTATACAGACTGATGATGATCGTCAGTTCCTTTGTATAGCTCAATTTCAGTACTGCGACAGCTGTGTCTCACACACATGGAGTACTCTCTCCTTGCATCCAGATAGGAATTTGGAAGATTTTTCTCTAAAGAAATGGAATAGACTCAGAATTAAAAAGCCTAAAATCCAGCCCCATCATCAGCTTCTTCCCAAATGATCAGGTTCCAACCCAGTGAGCCTCCCATACTGCCCCCACACAGAACTCCCAGTCAGTACTTGGATGCCTTTCTCTCTTTTTTTATTGAAGGAAAACTGCTTTACAGAATTTTGTTGTTTTCTGTCAAACCTCAACATGAATCAGCCATAGGTATACATATATCCCCACCCTTCTGAACCTCCCTCCCACCTCCCTCCCCACCCCACCCCTCTAGGCTGATACAGAGCCCCTGTCTGAGTTTCCTGAGCCATCCCGCAAAATATGAGCAGACAACAGAGATTAACCAGACATTTGAGAAAAGCCTTGAAGTAGAGAAAAAAAGAAATGTCAAAAAGAACCTTGGAAGAATTACAAACATTAGCATGGGCAGAAGAGAGAAGCCTTTAATTTATATTCTCAGAATTAAGAGATAACAGTATATCCATATAAGTGAGCTGGATGTTTCATAAAAGAGACAGAGACTGAGAATGAGAAAGAGCTCTCTAGGTGTTGAGGAGAGAAATTGGAAAATAAAGTTGAATAAATCCTCTAGAAAATCAAAGAGCGATAATAGAGAAAAGATAGAGTGGACAACTGACCTGAGAAGTCTGGCCTTCATTTAATAGGAACTTGAGAAAGAGAAACTAACAAAAATTAAATATATTAAAAAAAGATAAAACCAAAACTTTTTCAGAACTGAAGGCTATATGACTCTATATCAAAGATGCTCCTAAGAGCCCAGGACAACACTGAACTTTTTAGTACAGCATATAACCGGAAGGCTTATTATTATGAACTCTGCTATATAGAGCAATGAATTTGAGTTTCCAGAGAGGGGGAAAAAAAGATGACCTACAAAGACTCAGAAATCAGAATGGGCATTGAATCGGAAGTTAGAACAGCAGAACAGTGCCTTAAAATTTGAGAAGCAAATGATTTGTCACCTAGAACTATTTATCCAGCCAAATTGTGAATTAAGGATTACTAAGTAAAATACAAATATCATAGATATGAGATCTTCTAAGTATTACATCCCATATATTCATTTATAGAAATCTGAGGAATTAGCTAGTAAACCAGGAAAGAGGGAGATACAAAATCTAGGAAATGGGAGTGAAGGGATTCCAGGACTACACTAATTCAGCAGGCTTAGAGAGAAAGCAGTGGTGATTAGACCGAGAGGGTGGAGGGTTTGGAAAAAATGGATGTCTCCATAGAAAGAATTAATAGGTGCAGTACATGGTGCTCAACAGGTATCACTGGGGCGTCTATAATTCATTTGGAGAACTTGGGGAAAAAATTGGGGTAGAAACAAAGAAGTTTAAACAAACAAAAACTTGAGGACTTGTTTTTTGATGTCAGATGTTTCTTTGAATGTGACAACATGACAAAACTGGGTCAGATGGTGGCTAGGCTTTGGAGCAGTTACAGGAAGGAGAGTGAGGGGCAGCACTATGATGGCATGAGCATAAATAGAGAAACAGTGGTTTTCTGTCCTGAAATCTGAATTGATAAAAACTCAGAAGGCAAAGAGAGAGAAGGAGGGCCTGAGAAAATATTTGAAAAGATTGTAGCCAAATACTTCCCTAACGAGAAAGGAAACATTCACTCAAATCCAGGAAGTGCAGAGTTCCATACAAGATAAACCAAGGAGGAACATGCTCAGACACGTATTAATCAAACAGACAAAAATAAAAGACAGAAAAAAATATTAAAATCAACAAGGGAAAAGCAACAAATAACATACAAGGGAACCCTGATAAGGTTATCTGCTGATTTTTAAGCAGAAATTCTGCAGACCATAAAGAGTGGCACAACATATTTAATGTGATGAAAGGGAAAAACCTACAACCAAGAATACTCTATCCAGCAAGGCTCTCATTCAGATTCAATGGAGAAATCAGAAGTTTCACAGATAAGCAAAAACTAAGAGAATTCAGCACCACCAGACCACCTTTGCAACAAATGCTAAAGGGACTTCTGTAGGTGGAAAAGAAAAGGCCACAGCTAGAATCAAGAAAACTACAAATGGAAAATCTCACTGGTAAGAGAAAACACAAACATAGGAAATCATCCATATACAAATATGATATCAAAACCAGCAATTTTGAGAAGAGGAGAATACAAATGCCAGATACTGGAGATGAACTTGAAATTAAGGGATCAGCAACATAAAACAACTGTGTACATTTGTAGACTGCTATATCAAAATGTCATGGGAGATGAGAGAAGACACGATGGCAGGGTAGAAGGACATGAATTCACATGAAATACAGCCAAAAGGTTCATGAAAAGATGCTGAACACTGCTAATTATTAGAAAAATGCAAATCAAAACTACAATGAGGAATCACCTCACACCATTCATTATGACCATCATCAAAAAGTCTACAAAGAATAATTGCTCCAGATGGTGTAGAGAAAGGTGAACCCTCCTACACTGTTGGTGGGAATGTAAATTGGTACAGTCACTATAAAGAACAGTATTTAGGTTCCTTACAAAACTAAATATAAAGCTACCATATGATCCAGCAGTCCCACACCTGGGCATATATTTGGAGAAAACCATGGTTCAAAAGGATACATGCATCTCAATGTTCATTGCCATGCTGTTTACAATAGCTAAGACATAGAGGCAACCTAAAAGTCCAGTGATGGATGAATGGATAAAGATGTGGTACATATATACAAAAGGTATAACTTAGTCATAAAAAGAATGAAATAACTCAGCCATAAAAAAGGAATGAAATAATGCTATTTGCAGCAGCATGGATAGACTTGGAGATTATCATACTAAGTGAAATGAGACAGAGAAAGACAAATATATGACATCAGTTTATATACAGAGTCTTAAATAATACAAATGAACTTATTCACAAAACAAACAGACTCACAGGCTTAGAGAACTTATGGTTACTGAGGGGAAAGGTCAGGTAGGAGGGATAGATTGGGAGTGTGGGATTGACATGTACATAGTGCTATATTGAAAACATAATCAACAAGGATATAGCATAGAGAACTCTGATCTCTGTAATAACCTAAATGAGAAAATAATTTTGAAACAATACATACACACATACACATATACATATATATATATATATATAACTGAATCACTCTGCTGTCAGATGAAACACAACATTGTTAATCAAATATACTCCAGTATAAAATAATTTAAAAATAATAAAATTATTTTAAAATGCTATACTCATGGTGGTTCAGAGGTAAAGAGTCCACCTGCCAGTGCAGGAAATGCAGCTTTGATCCCTGAATCAGAAAGATCCCCTGGAGAAGGAAATGGCAACCCACTCCAGTATTCTTGCCTGGAAAATTCCATGGACAGCAGAGCCTGGTGGGCTACAGTCCATGAGGCTGCAAAGAGTTGGACATAACTTAGCAACTAAACAAGAATAACAACATATATTTTAATTTAAAATAAACTACATTACCACTAAAAAAAAAAAATTCCTGGGAACCACAAAGCAAAAATCTATGGTTGAAACACACAATTAAAAAAACAAAGCAATCCAAACACATCACTAAAGATAGACATCAAATGACAAGAGGAGAGAACAAAAGAGGAGGGGAAGAAAAAAGATCTTCAAAAACAAATTCAGTCCTCAAACTGAACCAGGAATAAATGGAAAGTATGTGAACAGACCAATCAGAAGTACTGAAATGGAAACTGTGATTAAGAAACTCCCAGCAAACAAGCCCAGGACCAGATGACTTCACAGGCAAATCGTATCAAACATTTACAGAAGAGTTAACATCTATCCTTCTGAAACTCTTCCAAAAATCTCAGAGGATAGAACACTTCCATACTCATTCTGTGAGCCACCATCGCCCGGATATCAAAACCAGACAAAGATACCACACACACACAAAAAAATTACAGGCCAATATCATGGATGAATATAGACACAAAAATTCTCAACAAAATACTAGCAAACTAAATCCAACAATACATTAAAAGATCATACACCACAGTCAAGTGGAATTTATCCCAGGGATATAAGGATTTTGTAATATGTGCAAATCTGTGATACACCACATTAACAAGTTGAAGAATAAAAACCATGTAATCATCTCAATAGATGCAGAGAAAGCTTTTGACAAAATCCAACACCCGTTTAAGATAAAAACTCACCAGGAAGTGGGAGTAGAGGGAATGTGTGTATTTGCGTGTGTGTGTGTGTGGAGTGGGCGGCCCTGCTCAGTTGTGTCCAATGCTTTGCAACCACATGGACTGTACCCTGCCAGGCTCCTCTGTCTATGGAATGTTCCAGGCAAGATAATGGAGCAGGTTGTCATTTCCTACTCCAGGGAATCTTCCTGACCTGGGACCCGCATCCCTTGTGTTGGCAGGAGGATTCTTTACCACTGAGTCTCTAGGGGAGCCCAACTGCATTGGGGCTACATGAATCTATAGAAATTAGAAATTTTCTAGAATATTGATTCGAAAGATAGCCAATTTCAACATAAAATTTTTTCCTTTAACTTTTATTACCCATAATCTCGGAAATGTTTCGTCAGTAAAAGCTAAACCTGTGTTTAATGTGAAGGGTCATTAAAGAATATTTTAACATTGAATTTGTCCTTTTTAATGGTATGGAATTTTTGTATGCTTAAGCCAGAAGAGTTTGGGAACAACAGAATTTTGGTTTTGAAAATATCTCTTAAAACTTCTATTTGCTACTAGTAGTTTCTTAAGAAAATTGGTTACCAAAATTGTGGATTATAAGAATTTTATATCTAAAAAATAATTATTTAAAAATAATTTAAATTGTCTCTAAATTTTCTTAATACTCAAAGGAGATTTTATTTCATACTGTTTTACCTAGAAAATGTGAAATTTTGGAGGAATGTGTGTGTATGTGTACACGTGTGTGTATATCTGAGTGTGTCTTACATGGGCCATCCTTCCCCAAAGTCTTTTTTCCTTCTTGACCCTAAACTCTCCACAGCTCTCTCTCTGACCCAGTACCCACTAATTCCTCTCTTTGTTCCACTTATTTATTGATAAATATGTAGTGTGTTTGGCACTGTTCACTTCACTGTTGTAATCTTTGTAGAGATTACAGTTTCTTTGAATGTATTTAAAGGACATTTTTCTGCATTATTTTTTGAAATAATATAATTAGTATAGCAGTAAAAACAGTTCAGATCTGCCACTAAATTAAAATCCTGACACTTATTTTTAGCCTCTGTGCTCTTTGAGGTATTACCCGAATTTTCTGTGTCCTTGTTTCTCACAGGTATGCTGGAGCCATGGAAAGACTGCAGGCAGAGACTGAACTTATTAACAGGGTAAACAGTACTTACCTTGTGAGACACAGGACCAGAGAGTCAGGAGAATATGCAATTAGCATTAAGTAAGTAGAACAAGAAATAGCTTTCTTGTTTTCATAATTGCATGGATCATCTGACATGCACAACACTACAGTTGAAAACCAAGGTTCTAATTGCAGCAGAAATAATGCATCATCTCTCTAGACAGTTCATTAATACTTGAAAATATCTGTTAGAAAAAAGTGGTATTAAGTGTTATAGGCTGCTAATTGGCATACCAGATTTCTTTCATAACACTGTGCTTCAGTGACTTGATGTGTGTATGTTTCTAGTAAATCCTAAGAATTATAAATTACTAGATTTTATTTTGTTTTTCTGTATTCTCAAACTGATCTTATAAATTGGGCAGAATGATTGGTCAAATCTACTGCCCCCCAATCTCACTTCAAAAATTGGTTGTATCTTCAACCAGTCTAGTGAATATATTTTGTTAATTAGCTGTCACCAGTGTATTGGCATAGGTATATATTTTGTCTTCAGAATTAATTCCTATAATGTTATTGGGGCATGCCCTCTGGTAATTATTGATTTCTACTGATTAAAAACACATTTATATTCATAAATTATCCATTGCCCACAGGTACAATAATGAAGCAAAGCACATCAAGATTTTAACAAGAGATGGCTTTTTTCACATTGCGGAAAATAGAAAGTTTAAAAGTTTAATGGTAAGCATTGATTAGTTCTTTTCAATCTGTGGTCTTTAGTTTTCTCTTATTGGAAAGGTCAGTTTAGTTCTATAGTTTCTTGGAAATTTTGCTTGCTGAAACATTTAAAGAGAATAATATCTTAATTTTGCAGCAGAATCCTGAAAATTTTAAGAATTCTAGTTAAGTTTTATATTGCCCTAAACATATTTTTCATTGTAAACTAAGTTTGCAAGTTTAAGATAATATTTCAGGGTCCATACTATATGATTCTTAGAACCATAGACACATTCAGGTTCATTTCATGCAAAATACAATATACTGTCAAAGGAAAACCTTTTTGTATTTTCTAGTCTAAGTGATTTGTGCTACAGTTCTCCTTCATTACCTTGGACAAGATCACACTTTTACCATATGACAGTGATTTCATAACAATTTTAGATTTAAATTGAAAGAGTATATTGTTACCAAGTTGCTTCATATAAAGATGATTAATTCTGATTTTAAAAAGTGCAACTTAGCATATAAGAATATCATGTATTGTCATATAAACAATACATATATATCATTACATGTGTACTGCTAACAGGAAAGAAAAAAGTTCTTATTTCCTGAAAAGTAACCTCAGGCCTGTTTCTCAGGTTGGAGAGTTTCTTAAGATAATGAAGAATTTGGATATAGGACATAAGATGCCTTTGTAGAGCTCTGTTAAGTACTTTGAGTAACACTGGGAAGGATCACTCACTGACTGAACCATCAATCAAATGATACATACTGCATCCATCCAGAAAACATCTCAAAGCACTTTACAGATGTTAACACTAAAGTTAAAACTGAGTGTAAGAGAGCCTTACAAAATAGGCCAGCTTAAAAGTCTTATCCAAAAATTTAGAACTGGATCAAGAGATGAATCAGCCTTTTAAAGAAACTGAAGCATCTTGTGACTGAGCAACTGAACTGAATTGAACTGAGTTGAAAGAAAAGTAAGAAAACCTGTCATGACATAAATATCACATTCCCAATTCAAAAGCTAAGGATGGGCAGCATCCTAAGGATGTGTCCTGGAAAATGCAAACCCTGTCAAATTGGCAACCAAGATCCAGGCATCCTCCCTGCTGGCAGCGACTTACGTTCTGCTGGAGCAAGCAAGCTGTGCACAGAGAGAATGGAACCTGAGGAGGTTTCTTCCTGAAAGGAAAACCTAGCAGGGAGGTGGCAAGTGGATGCGCAAATAATGAGTGACAGCCCCAGCTGAGACATGAAAAAAGCATGCACAGGGTGTCTCCACATCACTGCAAAGACACACCAGCTTGATTCTCACCTGCAGAACTTAGGGTGCTTGGTAATGAGGCTGCTCTGTGGTATCATGGTTAATATGAGACTTCAAAAAAATGCTGTAGGGCCAAAGTTGACTACCAGCCTTGCTGACTTTGAAAGCAACAAAAGGGACTCCCATCACAGGAGATAAACAAAGAGGATGAAAGCAATAATCAGTGGCAAGAACCAATCAGTTCAACTTTGTGTCACCTGGATTCCACTCAAGAAAGTTCCTCATCCTCTGAGGTTAGATGTGAAAAGCCAGTAAATAACACCATGACCTGGATTAGTGAACATAGATCCTCAGGTCCCTATCTGCATGGAAAGCTGTGATTATAATATATGCCATAAAGACCAAGATTTCAAGTAATTTGTATCAGAGTGGTAAAAGTGTTTTCAGTTCTGGAAAGGGAAGTAAAAGTAGTTGTCACAGAGCTCACATAAGCTAACAGAGTTTATTACAGGGTGTGTGTAATACATCAGAAATGTCACTGCTGGAGACACATGCATGTGTTCTGTCCCTCCATATCAGGGGATCGTTTGTAAGGAAGTACATAATACAGATAGTTAAAGGGAGGGGATTAAGAATTGATTGCAAAACTACAATGAAACTGAAAAAAAAAAAGCAAATGGATATGATTGTGAAAAGACAGACAAGGGGCTAAAAAATCTCAGTCTTAGATAAAATACTTTTTCAGGAAGAAAAATCACTGTAAAAAATTGCTGAAGAGACCATTGAACTCGTCTGAACCTCTCTCTTCTTTGTTTCTGTTCATTTCTTGAACAAATTTATATTGAGTCCTCACTGTGTGAAATCACTGTGATTCTGAAGAATTCTAAAAGGACTCAGTTCTGAAAAAATTCTCAAATTAGTAAATCTATCTGTACCAAAACCTCAAATAGTTCTATACTTGGACCCTGAACTAGGAAATGCCACACATGGACACCTGATCGGAAGGAATGGCTCCTATCTGAGTACCAACCCCTCTGGAAGATAAAGGGTTAATAGGCATTCTCTCTGGGAGCTAGGGGCTTCCCTCTGCAACTTTAAGGAGTTACCTTTTGTCATGCCTTTTATGCTGATGTGAAATGACCCAGTTGCCATTATAAGTATATCTTGGTCTAGGAATTGAGTTATTTCTTAAGTATAGTTTAGTTTCCTCCAATCGTGACGGGTAACATTATATCACCTATGTAATATTCATTTACCTAATGACACTCTAGGATTAAATTTAATTGGGAAAGGATGTAAAATGCAAACAAAATATAGAATTGTTTTAAATTAGCCAGTTTCTCAAGAAGATTGACCTCAGGTAGTTATAACCTAACCTTTTTTTTTTTAACCTCCTCTAGTTTCAATGGCTTGGTTAATCGAAATCTTTGTTTTTCTAGTCATTAAATTTAAATTATAAATGAATTTCTGTATCCAGATTACAAGGCATTAATTTTGTTCTAATTTTCATGTATGCCAGACAATCCATGTCCAAATGCTGTTTATAAATCATCTCCATTGCCCGTTTCCTTGGTAATTGGAATAACTCGCTCTCACTCATTATTTTTCAGAGAGACTTGAATTGTTGACACCACTGTGTCAGTGTGAGATAAGGAAAGCTTAGCGATTTCTTTTGTTTAGTGTCTTCTTATTTACTTGTAGTACCTGAAGGTCAATGACTGCTAAAGCGGGGGCAGATTAGACTAAAATATAGAAAGCAGAAAGGCATGAATTAGAAGAGATCCACAGTGGCACTATTTAATTCTACCAGTTAGAAACATGCAGGAAGATTTACCCTCATAAGATGGTAAAAATGGAACTAAAATGTCTTCCGTGCTTACTGAAGTGATGATAAAGTGTTTTGCAGCTTACCAAGCCACACAGCCCTAGGCCTTGGAAAAGTCATTTTTTGCTACCATAAAATCTGGAGGTGGGTAGGTATTAAATGATTAACAAGTCCTTTTCAGTATGATAATTCTGTGTTTTCTAGCCAACTTCTCATAAACTTTAATTCATACTAACTCATGATATATCATGCATAAAATTCATATTACTTATAACAAATTACTTATAACATTGACAACAATTTCAATTACATTAAACTTCAAAGTTATTGGCTTACGATTACTTTATTTGCACATTTTTTCCTAAAGAACACATTCACTCAGTTCAATGATAAAACTAAGAGAAATGTTTTATATATATATATATATAGTGTTGCTGATGCAAATGATAAAGTGTACAATTCTTTCAGAGACCTTACAAAATTTTGCATTTAAAAAACTTAAATGATAATATTGGTCTCTGAGCAGAATTTAATTCCAGAACTTGCCTTTGCAAATCATGTTAAAACCACCGTAATATAAATGCTGTATTCTGATCAGTGAAGCCATTTTGGGGATATAAACTTCTGATGCCTTAGGAAGCATCATTACGAACAAAGCTAGTGGAGGTGATGGAATTCCAGTTGAGCTGTTTAAAAGCTTAAAAGATGATGCTGTGAAAGTGCTGCACTCCATATGCCAGCAAATTTGGAAAACTCAGCAGTGGCCACAGGACTGGAAAAGGTTTTCATTCCAATCCCAAACAAAGGCAATGCCAAAGAATGCTCAAACTACCGCACAATTGCACTCATCTCACATGCTAATAAAGTAATGCTCAAAATTCTCCAAGCCAGGCTTCAACAGTATGTGAACCGTGAACTTCCAGATGTTCAAGCTGGGTTAGAAAAGGCAGAGGAACCAAAGATCAAATTGCCAACATCTGCTGGATCATCAAAAAAGCAAGAGAGTTCCAGAAAAACATCTACTTCTGCTTTATTGACTACGCCAAAGCCCTTGACTGTGTGGATCACAACAAACTCTTTTGAAAAATTCTTTAAGAGATGGGAATACCAGACCACCTGACCTGCTTCTTGAGAAATCTGTATGCAGGTCAGGAAGCAACAGTTAGAACTGGACATGGAACAACAGACTGGTTCTAAATAGGGAAAGGAATACGTCAAGGCTGTATATTGTCACCCTGCTTATTTAACTTATATGCAGAGTACATCACGCAAAATGCCAAGCTGGATGAAACACAAGCTGGAATCAAGACTGCTGGGAGAAATATCAATAACCTCAGATATGCAGATGACACCACCCTTATGGCAGAAAGTGAAGAAGAACTAAGAGCCTCTTGATGAAAGTGAAAGAGGAGAGTGAAAAAGTTGGCTTAAAGCAACTCATTCTGAAAACTAAGATCATGCATCTGGTCCCATCATTTCATGGCAAATAGACTGAGAAACAATGGAAACAGTGACAGACTTTATTTTTGGGGGACTCCAAAATCACTGCAGATGGTGACTGCAGCCATGAAATTAAAAGACCCTTGCTCCTCAGAAGAAAAGTTATGACCAACCTAGACAGCATATTAAAAAGCAGAGACACTCGTTTGCCAACAAAGGTCCATCTACTCAAAGTTATGGTTTTTCCAGTAGTCATGTATGGATGTGAGAGTTGAACTATAAAGAAAGCTAAGCACTGAAGAATTGATGTTTTTGAACTGTGATGTTGGAGCAGACTCTTGAGAGTCCCTTGGACTACAAGAAGATCCAACCAGTCCATCCTAAAGGAAATAAGTCCTGAATATTTGTTGGAAGTCTGATGCTGAAGCTGAAACTCCAATATTTGGCCACCTGATGCGAAGAACTGACTCATTTGAAAAGACCCTGATGCTGGGAAAGATTGAAAGTGGGAGGAGAAGAGGACGACGGAGGATGAGATGGTTGGATGGCATTACCGACTCAATGGACATGAGTCTGAGTAAATTCCAGGAGTTGGTGATGGAGAGGGAAGCCTGACATGCTGCAGTCCATGGGGTCGCAAAGAGTTGGACACAACTGAGTGACTGAACTGAACTGAAAACTTCTGATATTTTAGCTTTTTTTCTTTAAGTTGGTCAGATACTCCTTTGCTTCAGCAAGGATGCTTATAATCTAGGCCCAAGCAAGGAAAAACGAATGGAAGAAAAAAAAATTTAAGTTATAGCATGTGTAAAACCATATCATCTTGGGTCTAAGAAAACAAGAAGATACTTAGAAAATGCTCCTTCCCTTTGCTTCCCTTTTTGCATATTTACATTTACCAGGTACTATTTGCTAATAGTACAATGTAGTTGAGAACACAAACTTCAGAGCCAGACACCAGTTTTACAACCTTGCCCAAGCTGATTAATCTCACTGAGCCTTGAACATCACTGGGGAAAAGACCCATCTCTTGTTTCTTGTCTGAAGACTGTAAGAAACTATATAAAACTATACATATACTATATAACTATATAAAACTACATATAGTATATAAAACTGTGTAGCACATGTGATCATGGCAGTTCTCATGATTAGTCACAGGTACTAGGTACTTTATACCTTCTTTGCTATAGTCTGTGAAATGGTTTATTATCCCCATTTTACAGATGTGAAAGGTGAAGAATCTCCATTTGCTTTATCCAGTACTTGAACCAAACCATGCTGCTTTTAGTTTATGAAGATGGTCTTTGTTATCTTTGTCTGTTCCCAGCCTGTCTGCTCTACTTAAAATAATCCTTTTGTCCTTCCTGGCTTTTGAAATTACCCTTTTATTCAATTTAAACCAAGCTACCTCCCCTCATGAACTCTTCCCTCTTCCTCTCTGGATTCTGAAAAGGAAGCTCGCTTTCCTTCTTGCCTCCAAACTCCCATAACCCTTCTCTTTCCTTCCACGGTGAGTATGCCTCGGAACCTTATCTTCATAATCTCTGTGATCCCTGTAACACCCCACACCATGCATCCCACAACTCATCCGAGTTTTCATAAATAATAAATAAATCATTGAAAATTCTCTTTCTCTTCTTTCAGGTGATCTTTGATTTGATTATTTTGTTTGGGGGGCTTTGAACATAAGCACTGAATGGAAGGGCTGAGTTAATGACAATGTAATTTTTTTTTTTTTCAAGAAATGAGCTGCTTTTATACAGTTTAAAACAATAGTGCTGTAGAAGAAGCACTGAATCATTAGGTTAAAAATTATTTTGCTTTTATTTTCATTTCAGGTTTTCCTAAGAAACATAACTGGTACTCATCTAGTGATAATATCCATTTTCCATTATGAATTAACCATTATTAATTTTCTGTTTAAAGTAGAGGGATTACGATTTCTGCAGAATCTGTGAAACTGACATCACAAAAGAAATATTCTGAGATTGTAGATGATGAGATGAAAGATGGTGGTGATGAAAGATGATGAGATGAAAGATGAGATGAAAGATGGTGGGTAGTTATTGTATTAGGCTTGGATGTATTTAAGGCAAATTAGGTATAAGAGAAAATTGGAAAGAACTACATTATTGACTTCTGTGAGTACCAGGTAACATACAGAGCTAAGAGAAGTTCACTAACACTTCCTCAAAAGCCAGAAACAATGTCAAGTAAGCACTATTTGTGGTTTAACAACTTTGGTTTACAGTGGAAAAGCATATTTAGGATCAAGTTTGTTTTTCTGCTATGTTAAAAGAAAATGCAGGAAACTATAGATTACTATATATTCCTAAAACAGCTCTTGCCTCCCTAAACAAAAATAAAGTATTTCATAAGTAAGAACAAGAATTTCTGTTCTGAGTTTGAGGTTTATTATGGCTTCTTTTTACTTACTACATCCGACTGAAGACTAACAGGATATTGAGTAACAATGCAGGGTAACTCACATTATAAACGGCCTGGGTAACAAGGACAGTTACTAGTTGGGTGTCTTCTACATCCAGGAAGCAGAGACAGGTTACCATTTATTTATTGTAACATGTTGTTTAGTCACTAAGTCATGTCCAACTCTTTGCGACCCCATGGACGATAGCCTGCCAGGCTCCTCTGTCCATGGGATTTTCCAGGCAAGAATCTTGGAAGGGGTTGCTATTTTCTTCTCCAAGGGATCTTCGTGACCCAGGGAAGATGGTGGCAGGCTAGAGTTGAACCTGCACCTCCTCTTTGGCTGACACATTCCTTACCACTGAGGCACCAGGGGGCTTATGGAAAATTTAGCATTAAATTGATTATCCCTTCACTGTAAATAATTATGTGTCAAGGAGTTTGTGTGTTTCATTCTTTTTTCCTAAAGGAACTTGTGGAGTACTACAAGCATCATTCTCTTAAAGAAGGATTCAGAACCTTGGATACAACTCTGCAGTTTCCATACAAGGAGCCAGAACATTCAACTGGACAGAGGGGTAATAGAGCAGGCATCAGCTGTGAGTATTGTAATTTAGAATACAATTTGCTGACACCTAAGGATTGAAGCATGATAACATTAAACATCTTCATTCCAAATTTTGAAACAGAGCCAATTTATATGCTGATGAATTTAACAAGGAATTTTTTTTCCAGAGCAAAGTAGAATCAGATGGACCAGCAGGTTTATGAACATGCCTAGATTTAGTTCTTTGTGCCAAATTAAAAATGATGTTTGTGTCAAATTCATCAGAAATGAAGGGTATGTTAATATGTAAGTTTTGTACTTTTCCATGACTTTTATATTAGCCAAACTTTTTTTTAACTGACACATGTTTATGGTCACAATCCTGTTTGATTAACAGGATTTAAGCAAGACTGGTGCACAGTTCTCTCATCTAACCTCGCACCCCAAGTCTGCTTGTTGATTCCAGTTCAATGATTATTTTTGGAACTTTGAAGTAACTAAAAGCATGTTTCCTTTGATTTCAATATTTAAAGGTATACATTAGGCACTTTTGGAATGAGCACTGTGCCACACATAATCACAGAGATTAGCATACAAACCAAAAGCATGTTATAATTTTTAAATTTAATTGAAGGAAAATTGCTCTAATGGTGTTGTATCAGTTTCTGCCACACAACAATGCTAATCAGCCATAATTGTACATATGTCCCCTATTATAATTTGAATGTGAGTTCAAGTCAAAAACTTTTCTCATCATCATTTAATGTCATATAATCTTCCTATTAGTAGATACAGTGTATAAAGAGAACACTGTGATGAAAAAATGCTGGGAATAAACTGATTTCATTCCCTTATTTTAATAGCACTTAAAAATTATTAATAAAACTGTTTTAGAGAAAAAGGAACACAATTTTATTGCCCTCAGAATGTTTAGCCTAATCAAAAGGAGAATATCTAGAGTGTTTGAAAAAGAATTTGCGTCAGGTAATATAATTTTACCTTTTTTCCCCTAAAAGCAGAAACTGAAAGGGAAACAAATAATGCTGAGGGCACTAACACCACCAGTAAAATTTCATAGCACTTCCATAAAGTAAATATACAAGTAATTTGTCACATCAACTGACAGGTTTTTTAATTTGAATAACTTAATAGCTATTCTCTTCACAGCAATCAGTGATAAATGAACAGGCTTGTCCAATGAGAGTAGTCAGAGCACACTTTTTTGTTGAAACTGGAAACACATTAAAATTTATCTTTCTATGATTTTAACCCTCTGTTACCCAATTATCTTAAACACTCATATAGGCCATAATTTTTGCTAATTCAAAAATGGAACTTTCCCTCAAAAAACAAAACTTTCTACAAAATTCCTTACAAATTTACCAGGGTTATTACATTTTCCCTACATGGAAAGTATAATTTTCAGCTCTTTTAGTTTGCCTTCCCAGTAGCAGAAGATGATAAAAGTTGCCAAGGAGGTGAGCTACACTACAGATCCTGTTTGAGTTGCTCACTTGGTTTTAGAACGTCCAGGTGAGGGGCTGGCAGTCAGAGAAAGGACTGGCACTTCCTGTGCTTCACACGTGTAGATGCTCAGAGATTAGTGTTCAACAGCAAACAAAGTTGTGTTCAACAGCAAACGAAGTTGCCTAGTTTAAATTTTTGTTTAGTGTTTAACCAAATATGTAATGCTCAAACTTGTTCAGTCACTAGGGATGGAGATACAGACTCTTCTCTTTTAAAGCATATCCAACTGCATGATTTTGAACATCCATGCCAGCCACAGGAAGATTTTGAGAGTCATGAATTCAAACATTGTAAACCCCGTCTTTTTAAGACTCTGGCAAGTCATGATATAAGAACCCTTTTATAATTGAGAAGTAAAAGAAAATCATTCATTTAAAATTTAATCTTTGTTATAGCTAGCCTTTGTTCACCTAGTATTCAGTTATTCATTCCTTCAACATATAATAATTGCCTAACACAGAAAAGGCAGTGTTCTAGGTATGGGGAATAGTAGTTGAGAATACAAAATCCCTGACTTTATGGAGCTTATACTTTAATGAGGCGGCTCTGACAAGTCTGGTTAGGAGTCTGTTTCTATATAGGATGAGCAGCACAGATCCCACTCCCAAAGTGACCAGAAAGAAGTGAGGGTGTGCATCAATCAGCAATAATTTCTTGATGGTCTCCAAGATCTTACACTCCAGGATTATTCAGTTGTTACCATAGAGCAGGAGTATAATCTTAGATTTATATTATCCCAGTGTTTTATTTGCTTGCTAACTTTGTATGGAGTGAGGACACTAAGATCATTCTGAGGATTAAATGAGGTGCTGTACATAAAGTGCTGAGCAGAGTGCTGATAACGTGGTAAGCACACAGCAGAAGTCAGCTGAGCTACTACCGATTCTACCACTTCTATGGCTGCTGCTAGTCCTACTAGTACTAGTCCCTCCTCTTCTAACACAGCAAACATTTTCCTGTATTTCTAATAGTTGAATTACTAGTTTTAACTCATAGCAACTTACATCTTTGTTTTATGATTTTTTTAAATATCCCTTGCTCATTTTATGCCAAGTCCTGATTAAAGGTTGACTCTTAATTAAAGCATTGCTTCTGTTTTTATGCATGTGCCTCTCAAGAAGTGTTAAAGAGGAAACTCTACACACTCTGGATAGAAAGTTTGTGTAGGATGTCTTTAGAGTCATTACTTCTGGTTCATAGCTTTGGGTGTACTGCTAAATATCGTCTCAGAATAATTTTTATGAAGAAGCAGTAAATACTGGGGGGCATTGGCTTGGACAGGGCATGGTGTCTCCATTCCTTCTGAGTAATGGAGAAAGCAGAGCAGAGAAGCCAAAGACAAGAACCACCTGTGTTCTGGGTAAGACTGGAGTTCCAGCTCCCGAGGCCTGCTATTTATTATTATTTTTCTCTTAAATACATAGTCAGCTTGGAAAAGAAAGACCCAGGGCATTGTAGAAGAGGCTGCTTGCTTGTGTATTAGTCTAGGTTAGAATGCATGCGTGTGTGCTAAGTTGCTTCAATCATACCTGACGCTTCGCAACCCTATGGACTATAGCCCTCCAGGCTCCTCTGTCCATGGGATTTTTCAGGCAAGAATAGTGGAGTGGGTTGCCCTGCCCTTCTCTGGGGGATCTTCCCAACCCAGGGATCAAACTCATGTCTCTTATTTCTCCTACATTGGCAGCCAGGTTCTTTATCTTAGAGCCCCTAGGTTAGAATGTTCTTAGGCAAATTAAAAACTATTCTCAAATGTGTAAAATATGGTAAGATTATGACAGGCCTATCTCATGTAATTTCAAAATAAACATATATAAAGATACTACTTAGAATTAAGCAGCTATCCAGAGTATTGAACAAGAAGCATACAGCATTTCCAGGTGAGGAGCCCACTGTAGGCGATGCTCGGTCCGAGGACTGTGAGACTGTTTTCACCTTTGCAATGACTTGAGTGCTTCTGCTAGAGATGGAGAGAGGAAGGAGGAGAACAGAGAGAACTCGGGCACAGCAGTGAGCTCTTGTGCTTCCTAGAGACTGCAGTGGCCCCGTGGAGGATGTTCTGCCCTATCCTGTGGATCTCTGTAAGAATCTCATTCCTTTCCAAAAACGGTCACAGAAAAACTGCCTTAGACTGCTGCAGGTGTAGCCTTAGGGCTTGTGTATTTGAAGGGCACCGAGTTGACTTTTGCCTTTCTTCTTCTACAGTGAGCACTTAATTATTTTCAGGGCTGCTACTGAGTAAGCTGTCTGACCTTAGGCAACTCACTTAGCCTGTCTGGGCCCCAGCTCTCTTGTCTGATGAATAAGGAATGAGATTAGATATTTTATTATGTTCTTTCAAAAGCAGCTCCTGTTTCTTTCTTTGTACACGTGAGAAAAGGAGGTAAGGTAGAATGGTAATGGACCATTATACTTGGGAAAGTTGCACAACTAGCTATTTCATAACTTATTAATAGACCTTAGGTATTTTCTCAAGTAAATGGAAAATTAGTTGGGCCACAGAGTTGGTTAATGTTTAAAAACAAATTGTTGGTTACCACTATATTTACATGATCTCAAAGTTTCTCATCACAAGAACTTGTTAATTACAAAAGGGACAGTAGAAAAACCATAAAAGTGATCAAAATTAGCATCACCAATGATGGGACAACTTGATATCATGTACCTCCTAATGTGATGCTCTGAGAAGGCTGCAACACCACTTGGGTGGTATTCCTGCCCCCCAGGGTCCATGGTTGGAATCTAATCATGAGGAAATATCAGACAAACACAAATTCAATGACATTCTACAAAATAATTGGCCTCTGCTCTTCAAAAATATTGGTGTCATGAAAGAGAGAAAGAGTGCAGAATTGTTTTAGATTGAAGGAGACTAACGAAACATGACAGCTAGACACAACAGGTTGAATCTTCCACCTGGAATTATTTTCCTTTTTTTTCTTTTTTACTATAAAGGACACACATGGGACAATTAACACATTTTGAATGGTTCTAGATTAGTAATTTTGTGTTTTTGATAAGTGTACTGTTCATGTGTAAGAGAAGAAAATCCCTTTGATTTTAGGAAGGACACGCCAAAATGGTCTTCCCCAGTGACTCAGCAGGTAGAGAATTCGCCTGCCGATGCAGGAGACTCAAGAGACGTGGATTCAGTCCCTGAGTTCGGAAGAGCCCGTGGAGAAGGAAATGGCAACCAACTCCAGTATTCTTGCCTGGGAAATCCCATGGACAGAGGAGCCTTGCTAAAAGAGTCGGACAGGACTTAGCAATTAAACAACAGTGAAATATTTAGAGATAAAAGGCATTACGTCTGGAACATATTATAAAATAGTTCAGGAAAACTAAATAGCTTGATAAAACAAATGTAAAATATTAACATCTGAGGAGTTTGAGTGAAAAAAATATTAGAATTCTTTGTACCATTCTTGCCGTTTTTACGTCTAAGTTATTTCAGAAGTAATAAAATTTAGAGATGGTGCCTTTAGCTGAAGAGAACTAACAGAATTGGAGGAAAATGTCAGCATT